ACATACCCTGGGGGATATGGATGTTATAGAACTGAGAAGATATATGTCATCCCATGCTCTAATTAATGCAGAAACTAGTCAGTATCTATTTTAAACGATATTTTGCAATTAGTGGTCTTCTTACAGAGACAAAAAATCGCTACATGGATCAGGATTTATATACAAACACCTAATCAAATACATGAATAGGCTTTAAAACACAAGGTCTTTATTAATTACGTTTGAAAGCTGGTTGGAAAACAGTATCTTTATATAATATTCACGAAATAGGGTATACAAACGCACATACCCTGGTTGACAACAAATGAGTCTGCAAATACCAGCAACATTGACGTCACAACCTGCGACTATTGAACACTTTTGTTAAAATCGTGTTTTTGTCAAAACAAAAAACATGCAAGTACTTAAAAGTAGTTAATCCTGATCAAAATTAATTCAGAAATCATATAAAATTATCTGGGCAAAACTGAAAGATCTATATAGCTGGTAATATTTGTCGGAATATCAAAAACGAGGAATATGCAAAATAGATCTTGAATTCGTCAGTATATTTACGGTATATTTTGAAAATGAGGTAGTATGTTTCGGTGCTGTTCTGTAGATATACTGGTTTTCGCCGCGCTCTTATGGTATTTTTGTCAATTTCATCAATCTATTAATTTAATTTTCAATGTTATGTAGAAATCCAATAAAAGCAAGTATTTCGAATAATCCAATCATGTATAGAATTGATTCGTCAATCGTACAAAATTGAGTGGGCATGGCTAAATGTTCTATATAGATAGTATTATTCAACGGAACAAAGAATTGGTCGTTTTTTGAATCGAATTTGAGTTCGCCGCAGTTCGCTTTAGCAACAATGAGTCCCATTCCATACACACTGTTGCGGCAACATTTACTTGAAAACCGTATTTTAGTCAAAATAAAATACATTAAGGTAATTAAAAGAAGCAATCTTGCAAAAAATGTTTTTATCTATGGGATAAAGCTAAGTGGGCATCTATATAGCTTGAAATAGGCAATACCCGATTCGCCGCAGTTTCGCTTTTGCAACAATGAGTCTCATTCCATACACAAACATGTTGCTAATTCCATGCACACATACCCTGGGGGAAATGGATGTTATAGAATTGAGAATACGTTTGTCTTCCAAGGCTCAGTAGGTATCAGGATCGAGATAAATATATACAAGATTCTAATAATACACATGAATAAGTCAAAAACATATCAATTTGAGAAAAGGTCTTAATAATTTGCGTTTGATCTACACATAAAATTAACAAAATAGGGTGCACAAAGACCTATACACGCATCATGTCTTCAAATACTAGCAACATTGCGACTGTTTTTTTGTTGAACTATTTTGTTTAAACCTTGTTTTAGTCAAAATACAATAAAAGCAAGGACTTAAAACTAACCAATTATGTAGAAAATTTATTCATCAATGGGCTTAAATTATGTGGGCACGGCTAAATGTTCTATATAGCTGGTAATATTCGTCGGAATATCAAAAACGAGGAATATGCAAAATATAACTTGAATTCGTCATTATATTTACGGTATATTTTGAAAATGAGGCGGTATGTTTCGGTATATTTCTGAGGGTCGGACGGTATCCGCGGTCACACTGTTTGTGGGTTGTGGGGCGTATTGATAATAAAAATTAGATAAAAATTTTGAACTAAATAAATTGTGGAAAATGGCTCAGGCAATGCCAAACCAGCCCAAATTTCTCCCTCGCATAGAGCGCATGGTGACAACATCCAACTCGTACGTCGCAACTTCATCCGGCAATCCCTTTGATGTGGAGGAGGAGGATGAGATATTTAGTAAACACAAAATAGTACTCCGAGTGCCGACCGACTGCACAGGCGACCTGATGCACTTGACTGTCTCTAAGAATTGGCTCGTTTGCTTGCTAGGCTCAGCGGAACGTACAACTCTACTGCGCTTTTTCCTTCCGCGTGCTATTCCACCGGGTGGTAAGTTTCCACAGGAAAAAGTACGACTACTAATTACTTTTACACATACAACTGATTTGCAGAAGTGGCGCTCGAGCGATATCTTTCGGGGTCTGGCTACAAGATTACAAAGATTTTTCTAGACCACACCGGGCATCATTTGGTCATCTCCGTGGTCCCGAAGTCAGCATCAGCCGGAGTCTCCGCCGACTTTCTGTACATTCACAGCACCGAATCGTCCACAGCGCAGCAGTTGAAGGTGCGTCGGATAGAAAAGTTCAAGGACCATGAAATCACAGCTGTGGCGTTTAACCCGTACTATGGCAATGAGTCGACGACAGGTCCCATACTCCTGGGCACCAGTCGCGGCCTTTTATTCGAAACAGAGCTAAGTCCCACCAGCGACAGTCACACTCAGCGCAAGCAGCTCTATGACTTGGGTCTGGGTCGCCCCAAATATCCAATCACCGGCTTGAAATTGCTACGGGTGCCCAACAGCAGTCGGTACATCGTTGTGGTCACCAGTCCGGAATGCATTTACACATTCCAGGAGACACTGAAGCCGGAAGATCGCACCCTCCAGCCCATATTCAATGCGTATGTAAATGGGGTGCAAGAGCCATATTGCGAGGAGCGCAAGACCGACTTGACCTACTCCCAGCTACGATTCTTTGCCCCGCCAAATAGCAAATACCCTAAGCAGTGGGCGTGGCTCTGCGGGGCAGGCATACGCGTGGGTGAAGTAAGTAACTAGCGGCTACCGCTGGCTCCAAATTGATTATTTCTTGTTTGGATTTCCAGCTTTCGATCGAAGCGAATGGCAGTGCAACTCTTCTGGGCGACACCCTGATCAGCCTGGACTTTGAGAAGGTTAAGCACTTGTCGTACGAGGAGCGTCGCCTGCATGTGCCCAAGGCATTCGTCCTCACCGAGTACCATGCCGTGCTCCTCTATGCAGATCACATACGAGCCGTTTGCCTACTGAACCAGGAGCTGGTCTATCAGGAGCCACTGGACGAAGCCCGAGTCGGCAAGCCGCTAAACATTGAGCGTGATGACATCACCGGATCCATCTATCTGTACACCGTCAAGGCAGTGTTCAACTTGAGAATCACACGCGAGGAACGAAATGTGTGGCGGATATACCTGGACAAGGGACAATACGAACTAGCTACAGCCCACGCAGCGGAGGTGCCCGAGCATCTGGACTTGGTCCTTGCGCAGCGTGCAGACGCCGCCTTTATAGAGGGCTCCTATGAGGTGGCAGCAGACTATTATGCGGAGACGGGCAAGTCCTTCGAAGAGGTCTGTCTGAAATTTATGGTGCTGCCAGACAAGCGGCCAATTATCAACTACGTGAAGAAGCGTCTTAGCCGTTTGACCACAATGCCAGCTGATGTGGAGGCCATGGAGGAGGATCATGCGACTGCCATTAAAGCCCTGGTGGTGTGGCTCATCGATCTTTACCTAATTCAAATAAACATGCCCGACCAAAACGCAGACTGGCGCCAGGCGTGGCAATCCGAGTACGACGAGTTTATGCGGGAGCCGCCCGTCCTCGCCTGCACAACTCGGAATAGCGCAGCGGTACAGCAGCTAATTGCCGAGCATGCGGATCCCCACAACATGGCCCAGTTCGCCATCGCCATTGGCGACTACGAGGAAGTGGTTGCACAGCAACTGAAGGCCGAACGTTATATCGACGCATTGCAGACACTAGGCAAGCAACGCGACATGCAGCTCTATTACAAGTACGCGCCCGTACTTATGGAAAAGCTGCCCAAGCCCACAATCGATGTCCTCATAGCGCAGGGCGCCAACTTGGAGGTGGAGAAGCTGGTGCCCACACTTATAGTCATAGACACGCCCGAGCAGAGGGAGCAGACCATTCGTTATCTGGAATTTGCCATCTATAAGCTGAACACCACTAACGATGCCATCCACAATTTCCTCTTGCATCTTTACGCACAGTACGAGCCAAAATTGCTCATGAAGTACCTAGAAATTCAGGGTCGGGACGAAAGTCTTGTGCACTATGACATCCACTACGCGCTCAAGGTGTGCACAGATCTCGATGTGAAGGTGGCATGTGTTTTCCTGCAGTGTATACTGCACATGTGGATTTCTGCGGTGGATCTGGCACTGAAATTCGATATGAAGCTGGCCAAGGAGACGGCCTCGAGGCCCACAGACAGTAGGATGCGCCGCAAACTATGGCTGCGTATAGGTAATTGAAACGAATTGCTCATAAATAGTATGTCGTCTCACCCAATAGCTTATCCTTGTTGTGCCTCCTGCAGCTTGTCATGATATCAAGGGAACCAACGATGTGAAGAAGGCCCTCAATCTGCTCAAAGAGTGCGAGCTGCTGCGCATCGAGGATCTATTGCCATTCTTTTCCGACTTTGAGAAAATAGATAATTTTAAGGAGGCTATTTGCGATGCCTTAAAGGTAGGATTTATGATTAATGATCTTTACAGGAACGGATAACTTTTTCCTTTTTATCACTATCAGGACTATAATCAGCGTATCCAAGAGCTGCAACGTGAAATGGCCGAGACCCAGGAGCAGTCGGACCGCGTAGGAAAGGAGCTGCAACAACTGCGTGAGCATAGAATCTGCATAGATGCCCAGGATACTTGCTCCATCTGCGAAATCATGCTGCCAATAAGACCATTCTTTGTGTTCATCTGTGGGCACAAATTCCACAGTGACTGCCTTGAAAAGCAGGTGATGCCCCTGCTCAACAAGGACCGCAGTCGGCGACTGGGCATATTGAAGCAGCAGCTGGAGGCAGAAATGCAGACGCAATCGCAAGCGCAGGCCTCGACTTCCACGGCTGCCCCCAAGCTGCAAACAGTCGAACAGCAAAGAAAGCGTGCCGAGATCAAGACGGAAATCGAGGACATTCTCGCGAGCGAATGCCTCTACTGCAGCATGTTTATTGATACCATCGATCAGCCGTTCGTTGACGATTGGGAACAGGTGAATGTCGAGTGGGACTAGTTGTGCGAGTCTGACGAAAATCTACATCCAAATGGATTGTAAATACAAAGTATTTATTAATAAACCTACAAATCACAACATTACTGGCTATATTTGTCCATTGAATTACGCAAATGGCATGAGCTTCAACTACAGATCGTCAATCAATAATTTGCATTCGCAGCTCATTTGTTACAAATGACATGACGGTATTGAGAACAGCTTGTTGTATCGATGCATTCTGGACTATCAGCGGCAGCAGCATCACTATGTCGGTGGGATGTATCTCAGCAACGGCCTTGGACACATGCTGCACCAAGTGCTCGCGCTGTCTGTCCGTCAGGTCGTTGAGTATTACTTCGCCAAGGGGCCTAAATGAACCTGCAAGTAAAAAATAATCGATGATTATGAAGCGTTCAAAGGTGAATGATGAGGTCCACTGCTTCCTCACCGCTAGTCATTTTGTACGCCGCAATGCCACCGGCCGCACCGCCAACTGCCAGACCCACAGGGCCCATAAGCATTCCGCCAGCGAAGGCGCAGGCTCCACAAATAGCTGCTCCCTTGCCAGACTGCTTTACGGCGACACGAACATTCCGCTCGTCGGCCACAATGGCAATCGCCTCCATCAACTCCCGCGTATCAATGGGCATTTTTGAGCTACGTGGTTTTACAGCGTAATTTCGCAATCTAAATCCAATCCAAAGTTCGATTTTAGAGCTTCCGTACTAATATGTATCTAAAATCTGATAATATTTGTAAATTAATATAAAATATATTTTTAGAAATTAAATAAGTATTTACTAAAAAAACAACGCAATTTGTTCCTTGGGCGACGAAATATAATTTTTGTTTTTGTTTGTGCCGATGTAAAATATATATATGAATATATCGATATGTTTGTAGATGATTCGATTCAGTAGCGATTCACTTGTTGCATCGATAATATCGATGAAGGAATCAGTGCTGTGTAACACCAAAACTAACAACAGCTGCGATTAGCAGCCCGCTAACAGCCCACTGTTCACGCACTGTTACTTTTGTTTTGTTCGAATTAAGTTAAAGCTAATGCATATAGAACGTTCGATTGTTGCTGTTCGTAGATGATAATCTTTCGGTAGATCAGTACTGCAAGCCACCCAACGAATGAAAACGCCCAGTCGCCAAACAGTTGGTGGCATTTGTCTGTGCTGCTGCTGCCAATTTTCTATGCGCAGATCATTTAATGGCACGGCGTGTGGATATGAAAATGTGAATTATTCGGCAACCAGTGTGTTTTTCACAAACCGAACCACAATCGGAGTAAATAGGCGTTCAACTCCACTTTAGCTGCCTTTCATTAGAGATCAAAAGGCAATGTTCCCCTGCAAACACGTAAGTCGAACGCGCAGGCAAGTATATTTATATTATGTACAATATGAAGGTATGTACGTATGAAGGTGTGTGTATGGAGACAAATCGTTTTAATCTTTAAAACATGTTGTAAATAAATGATTTGCGAAAATGTGCATTGATATAAGAGCGATATGTCTTATCTCTTTTAATTTTTGACATAATACCTTATGTAAATATATATGTATGTACATACATATATATATACAGTGTGTATGTAGATTCTAAAGGACTTTTAAACGGGACCAGCAGCCGTCTGCATATTGCACAGAAAATTCAGTTTGATTTTTCGTACACTCATCATGCTGCGTTGCATGTTGGCCCGTTTAAAAAATTCTTTATATTCCGACATATACAAACTTCCACCAGATCGGGGGGGCTACACCACATGCGCTTGTTAAATAAATTTAATGTTTTTATTGGACCGCTGTTATCGCATTCAACCGATCCGTTAATTAATTGCTTAATTAGCGTAGCGGTGTCATTTGGAATTAAGCCGCCAAGGCGCTAAAACGAAGAGGAGCAAACAAGTATAAGCCATTTGGATAGACCCCCTACCCCCATGTGTGTGAATAGGGTTGCGCTGGCTAGGGCCTGTGGCGCTTCGAGTGCCACACCTACCTACGCTTATTGCCATAGGGCGAGAGGCGGCACCCCCGAGCGAGGGCCAAGCCCTTGCCGCGTTGTGGTAGCTAATTCATTGCGTAAACAAACCCCGCCAAATATAGTAAATATTTGCATACGTATAACGTACGAGTACGGGGGTGTCCCCTTTCCCTTCTCCCCATCGGCGATTCAGTAATATTAATGTGTTGTTCTTTGTTTTACAGCAGTGCACATTGCTTTGGCTATTGCTGATGCTCCTTACTACTGGACACGCACGCGCACGACCAGAACAGCAACAGGCTTCGGCGGACGAGCCGTTGGAGGCTAAACCGGAAGATGGTCACTCCTTGACAGCTCCTCGCCCAGCCGATGATGAATTGGCAACTGTGGCGCCAACAACGACACCAGTTCCCGCTGTGGCTATCACGCAGGGAGCAGCAACTGGTGCTGCAACTGAAGCCCCCCACTCTCAGCCCGTCGTAACGGCAGTGCCAGCTACGTCCTCTACCTCCACCTCAACCACTGTCCCCGCCCCGCTGCTGCCAGCTGCCCCGGAGCAGCCCGAGTATCTGAAGCACTGTTTTTATGCCGATGAGCACTTGTGCATGTATGGCCATGACGGCCAAGGCAACGAAGCACCAGACGCACTGGGTCACATATCGACAACACCAGAGTCCGACTCGCAAGGTATTGGCTTACAGGTCAATGCTAGTCAGGGTAACAGCCAGAACCTAGAACGCAATGCCAACAGCTGTCAGTGCCACGAGCATCCGGCAAAGGCCAACTCCTGGTATTGCTGCAACATATCGCAAATGTCAATGATCTCAAGCTGCAGCAATATATCAAAATGGACAAATCTGCACGTGCGAAATCTCACAGTGAGAACCATAGATCTCTCCAATCCCATCTTCCGCTCTCTCCAGTCACTGGCAGTGACCGATGGAAATATTACGCGACTGATTAATGCCTTTCCGCGACACTCGGCCCTCAAGTGCCTCAACATATCAAACAACAATATTTCGGAGATACCATCACGAATGTTCAAGGATGTTCCCCATTTGGAATTCTTTGGAATGTCGCGAAACAATCTATCATTAGTGCCACATCACAATCAGAACAAAAATATTACAGTGGACATTAGGTGAGGATCGGATCGGATCGGATCTCCTTTCTATTTCCATTTCCGCTCGTATTACATAATCCTATTTTGATTTCTATGAACTTTCCTTTTCAGTGGTAATATGCGCATGCTCTGCAATCCACTAAACGAAATCATAAACAATGATTCATTCAACTTTGTGAACCCCAAGCACTCTTACTGCTTGTATAATGCCACTCACGAATGGTTCCAGTCCACAGATCTGGTGTCCGTGGAGCAGCTGGAAAGCACGAAGCGTTGCATGACCAAGTGTCCAGTGATACCGAACTATGGAAGCTGCAAGTGCAGATTCGAGAGCATCATGATTATACAGGATGACCAGTCCAAGCCCAAATGCCATGTCGACTGCTCCAACCTGGGACTGGTGGAGCTGCCACCAAGACTTCCCGATAACACGTTCGTGCTGAATATAACCAACAACAAAATCACTAGTCTAGGCGACCATTTCCAAACCAATCCAACATATCACAACATAAACAGACTGGTGGCCGACAACAATCAGATATCCTCCATTTACGAATTTGAGGGGACAAAGTTTATTGAGAATTTCCAGCGCATCTACATGCGCAACAATTCTCTAAGCAAGGTGAGTGTTGGCTGATAACTGAGAGCTGAGAACAACTGCATTGAAAATGTACATTACAGATACCCGAATACTTTCTAAACAACGCACTAATGGATACAGGTCGTCGCATTTACCTGGCAGGCAACAAGCTGCAATGCGACTGCAACTCAGCCAAAACTCTTCAGAACTGGCTCAAGGAGCGAAGCACAGACATACCCGACTACATGGAGATACGCTGCCGGAATATACCCCAGAGTGTCATAGAGCTGCAGGAGGCCAAACTATGCCAGTCACCGCCTGATTGGACAGACTATATATACTATTTGATAGCCGCGGAAGTCATCCTGCTGCTGGGTCTTATCACCAAAGTGTCCTATGATTATTGGGTATTTAAGACGTCTGGCTATTTACCGTGGCCAGCTAGTAAAATGCCTAAATTGCCTTGCGACTGGTTGTGCGAGTCCTAGATAGAGATTTAGAGGAAGAGGACTTAGTCCTTGGCGAACAACCAAAATATCCTAAGATGGCTAGACAGCTAGACATGCGAGTCGTAAAGAGAAATAGACCTGGCGTTAGCCCTAAATTTCGAAAAGGAAATGTTGGCCTATACCCGGACCTTAACACAATCAAACGGTAGAAATGGCAGGGCGTACTATTATACCTGACAGTGGAACTATGTGCCTTTTATATGCATATGCATACACATGTACATACATATATAATCCAAATTGTATTTTTTTTGGTTTTTATATTCGGTATCTTAAGTGAAAAACTGCAAAGAGCTGCCAGTACCCAAATTTACTATATATTGTATAAGACTTTTTAGTTTTCTATTCTGCGAGATAGGACCTCGCCCGACCACTGATATAAATCCATTTGTCAGAATGTTCTTGCCAGTAACGTTACATTGTCCAAGTGTAATAGTCATTAATTTTAATCGTGAAACAAAATGGGAGTCAAATCCACTCTCAACCGAATGCCCATCATGATGGATTGCAGATTCCACTCTGAATATAAATACGTACGTGGTCAGTAATACGGCTCAATGTGGTGGTCCTGCAGATTTTTCCAAAAAACTGTGTGGATAATTTCGTAGGGCCTTGCATTGATCTGGTCGATCTTGCTTCCATGGAGAGGGATGATTTGAAAAGCATATGAGTATGGTATTTCTAGATGATCTATAAGTTATATGGCGCTTCCATTTAGACCACATGCTTGACCCCGTACATGGTCACAATGAAAATCTTTCACCTGCGACCGCTTGTTGCTCCAAATCTTCTCCAATCAATTCTTGGCAAGAGCACGATGACAAATGGATTCATGTCGATTTTATGTATATTTAGTACAGCCAAACCAAGACATGTATTTACGGCGCTACAAATAAATCGTAGCATTGCGCATCAATTAGTCGGTGCTGCTCGAAACAAAATATTGAGTTGCTTTGGATGTTTTGACAGAGTGATGAAGACGAGAAGACTATTTTAATAAATTTTGCTTCGATACAACGAAACAGAAAGATTTTGTTGTTATTAAAATTACCTTTGAATGCCCCTTCACGATAGATGCCCGACAAATAGCTGCCAAAAATTGAGGAATGGCAACTACCCAATAGTCATGCCTTTCAAAATGAATCAATCGAGTCGAAGAAGAGTCATGTTAAGAGTCCATTTTACGAATGATATTTATTGTTGTGGTTTGCTGTGATTTTAAATATTATAATTACTATTAAGAAAAAATACGCGCTTCCATTTTTGTTTGTTGAACTCTTCCGATACAGCATCCTCTCCGTACTTCTATACTTCTGCACATCTCTTCTACTACCTCCAAATTGTTCTTTATGTATACGATACGTAATACCCGCTTTGGTGAGTAGAGGAGCGAGGGTGTCGTGTGTGTGTGTGTGTGTGTGTGTGTGTGTGTGTGGGCAGGGGTGTACATTTCCGTTTGAGTGAGTGTAGTGGAGTGGAGTGGATTGGAGTGTGCCTTATAAGGAATACAATTATGTGTACAGTGCACATATAATACCATCATTCAATTTGATTTTGCCACATTCACATTCATATCGTTTGGGATTAACTATACTTAATTATTTTTGACTTCGTGTTATTAGGGACCTTTAATCGCGTAAACCTTTTACATAGGTCATTATTTATTATCTCCGTAGTCATCATATGTATATATTTTTTAAATTTTTCGTATTCGTTGCGTGAGTTTTGCATGTTAATATATATATATATATATACTGTATATGTTATACATATTCGTCGAATGCGGTCAAAATAAATATAAATCCACTAACTTAAGTACATGTTTTCTGTCTTTCGTGTATATATGTATATGTAATGTCTTGAGCGGCGCACCTTAAGGTTTCAATGTTTTGGCATTTGAGTCTTGCAATCAAGTCTATTGCACAGTAGTTTCTAAAATTGGGGCTACTAAATAAAACACAGGGGCGTACGGCACAGCATTAGATCCTGACACAGTGCTCTCTCTCTATCTCTGTGTGTATTTTGAGCTATTGGATATACATACATACATACATATCATAGACCTATTCATTTATATAGTATGAGTATCAGATATACTTTTAAAGTGTTTTATTTATTTTCGATTGAGTTCTTATGCTAACACACGCTTGAAAACGGATTTTTAATTCGTTGACATTGTTTCCGTTTTCACAAAAGAAAGGAATTGGCGCTGCGCTCTGCTGCGTACTCCTTATTCATAGACATCGAAAATCGAACATTTTTGGGGAATGATTTGGTATATTTTACTCGTAATTGATACATACGTACATATATGAATCTGGTTTGGGTGCAACAAATTTCTCTTAATTCCGTGTGTTATAGTATGTGTATTAATTGTAAATAAGCTTTTTTAATACTGAAATTTAATACTGAAAGAACACGTACAATAAAAAATCTATGATTGTGCAAGATATAACCACTTTCATTGACCCTTTCAGCCCATGCATCAGTGTGTACGTACTTAAATGCTAGGGTGCTAGGATGAACACTTCTCAATTAACTATTTAAAAAAAAAACATATTAATTTGCTAATAACATATGCAGTCAAGGGTCCCGTAATACCCTGATCAGCCCGATCACGATTAAAAAGGATAAGGAATGAACCAAAATTATCCAATAAGTATCTGCGCGCAGGGACGTTGTCCGGTCCGTCCGTCGCCGTTTCCGATGGATATACCAACACAGATATGGACAGACTAACGTTCTACACGGTATGTTGCGGTATAATGCGGTAAATGCCTTCGGTTACATTTTTACATATGTATGTATTGCCCATTTGATAGGCGCATCGTTTAAACAAATAACATTTTTGGTAGTCCAAAATGAACCACACCCTTTCCAAATCTTGATCCAACTTAAGGCCCTTTGGAAGGAGTATGTATGTACATATGTGTGTGGTGTATGGTGTATGGTGTATGTTGTTTATGTGTTGTGTTTTTTTTAATATATTCATATATATTGGGATAAAATTAGCTAGTTGCCTTCTATAACAAAAATAAGTAAAATATTTTCATTATTTTTGTATCTTGATGAGCTATATATATATAGAACTATCAGTCTCACGTCCCATACCAAGGTAATAATAAAAATCTTTTGACATACATATTTGTAACGTACATACGTAGATCCTGTACATATGCATAATAATTAGTTATAATGTGTTCTTGTGTGCCGTGTTGTGCCTTGCGTACTTTGTGGATGAGTAGTATGTACTACGTGTAGTTGTGTGACCAGACCTGGAGTATGGGTCCTTTCCTGGCCTAAAAGATAGGATAGACAGCTAGCTGCTTTGGCTACTTTAACATATACACAGACACAGATTAAAATATGCATGCAAATCTGATTCTGACTCTGATATCTGATCGGATATACTGAAGCTTAGCGCTTGCTTGGGTTTAAGTTGGAACCTCTCCTCTCCGCTCCGCCGCTGACAGACAGAGTCTAGTGCAATATATTCGTGCTCTCATGGGGGGTTTCTCATTCACCTTCTTATAGCTTATGTGCGATTTCATCGGAACAACAACAAGGGGACATACAGCAAGTACATCGGATGTAAGCAAATACATACATACATACATACATAAAAACATTGATCTTATTCGGCTTGTTGCCTTCGTTAACGAGTATTTACGAGGATACGCGGATACGCAAACTTGTGATTACACGCGTAATGTTACAGTTTTTTGATTTTCGATTCAAATTCGTATTCGTATTCGTTCTTCATTTTCATTTTCATTTTGACAACACCTAACGTCCATACATCGATCGCATGCTGAATTAATGCACGTTACACATTTATGTTCGAAAATTAAATGCTAGATGCTAGACAAAAGTACTGGGGTAAGGGGCTACTGCTCGCCCTTACACATACGGGAAAAGTTTTTAGTGACACTCAAGTTTCGTTTTTGTGTTTGAGAGAGATGACTCGTGTTATGTACGCGGACGTGAAATTATTTGAGCAGTAGTATCTAGGGGTAGGTAGCTTTTTGTATTGACCACATCTGTAGATAGATTTGGAGCCCTATCTGGGTAACCGAGACCACCTGAAGACTGCTGTGATGATTAAATGTCAATTTTTGTTTCGTTCCACGCCAATTTCCAGTTGTGTTAAAGTATCTCCGTCTCGTACACCTGTTTGGTGGTCGTTGTGGCTGTTTGGTGTTGAGAGTTTGCAGCAGCAGCGACCGCACCAGACGACCCTACCACTCCACCACCAACAGCGCCGCCGATCACACCGCTCGTAGCATCACTGACCAACACACCATTGGTAGCCGCGGCAGACGCCGCCGCCGCAGCCGCGGCTCCACTAGCTTCGCAGGCCAAGCTCAATGCAGCGATTTTCTGCTGAATATTTGTCTCGCTGCCGAGCTTACGCAACGTGTTATTCCCGCCGCCGGCCCCAGCAGCCATGTCCTGCGACGAGGGGCAGGTAACATCGACCGAGGGAAGCTTGCTCATTTTCTGCAAACGCTGATATTGCTCTTGCAGTAATTTTTGCTTCTTAAGTAACTCCTGGTGGCGCATCTCAAGTGCCACCTGGCGTTGCACATGATCGTTACCGGACTCATTGCCACTGGAGTTGTCGCCGCTTGATGTGTCGCCACCGGCGACAACCGAGGAGTCTATTCCGATTGAATTGACATTGGCATTTGAGTGGGCATTGGAATTAGCATTGGCCGCTGCCGTTGCTGCTGCTGCTGGTGCGGAAGCTATGTTCTGTGGCACGTTTGGGCTGGTTGGACTGGCCAGTGGACTGCGTGAGCTGGTGCGTGGCGGCGGTGGTGGCGGTATGCGTTTGTGGCCCACTTTCGTTATCAGATCAGCATTTCGCTCGGGTACGGGTGGCTTGTTGTTGCTGCTGCTGCTGCCGATGCCGCCACCATTGGCCAGATTTGGATCGCTGGGTCGTGGCCCAGTAGGTGGTGGTAACTGAAGTTCGCTGTCCGACTCGCTGGGATAGGAATGCAGCCGTCGCAAGCTGCCCATGTTTGTGTGCACCATGAGCTGCTGCTGCTGTTGTTGTTGTTGTTGTTGTGATTGCAGCTGCAGCTGCGACTGCGACTGCTGATGGGTGAGCACGCCTCGCTGTACTGGCACAGAGCCGGTGGCCACAGCAATGACCATGCTGCTAGTGGTGGCCTGTTGCATATTGATGTTGGCCTCCGTGTAGAGACGGGCCTGCGATATTTGCGTGGTGACGGTGCTTTGTACTGCGGCCTCTGCGCTAGCGCTTTCATCAGATGCCGAATCTTCGGGGCGAATCTACAGGAAGAGACTTGGGACATTTGAGTTCCGTTTCAGATCGGAATCAGGGCTAGGGGATGGTGCTTAATGCTCTTACCTCGTATTGTTGCTGGTGTTGCTGCTGCTGCTGTTGCTGCTGCTGTTGTTGGGCTATGGGCTTAGAGAACGTCTTGAGCTCGTCTAGCAGAGCATCGAGTGCGTTTTCGGGTGCGAGTCCCCCGCTGATAGCGAACGACCCCATCCTGGGTGTTGGGATTGGCTATAATAACACACATACACACAGAAAATTTGGTAGTAAAATAAACGATTATGTGCGGCTCCCGCTGGTGGCGGGAAATGCGAAGGCAACGTATAGTAATTATGTACATAAGAAGTGAATAACACCACACATATAGATACATATATGGTAATTACGTACTCTTATGGCACAATTATTCTCGCAAAAGATAGTAGTCAGAAGTAGTAGTACATATACATATACACATATCTGATACAGACTAACCCATCAATGAAACATACAGGTATACATAGCTAAAGAAAAACAGTGCGGCAGAGGCCGTGGCGTCTTTAACGAGTGCAAGGTGCATAGAGAACAGTATTCATGCAGTGCCATACTAAATTCAATTATTAGAAAACATATATAATTGCAAGACAATATACACATAGATAGTAGATGTAAGGATGCGATGTATCATATCTGCAGCAAACATTAGGCAATCATCGTTATCATGATAAGCAAGCATTCGATTAAGCGTTGTACAAAGGTGGTTGTAGTTGGAAGAGTCTCTCTATATGGTCTATATATATAAGAATGTCGGGTTTATAGAAGGGCATCATCAGCGGAGCCTAAATTTGAAAACTTAGGGCAGGGGAAATGTGTGCTTTCGAATGGTCGAATGGAGGAGTGGGTGATTTATACATTTTGAGTAAAAGAGAAGCTCTAAATAACAAACAAAGACGCAAATCATATATCCAAAAAGGAATTGTACCCCGATTTTCCGAATGCAGAATGCAGAATAATACAGGTAGTATATGAGAAAGTTCTGTGTGTATGTATGTGTGTGTGTGTGTGGCCTATAGGTATATGTGGTGGTTTTGAGCAGTTAACAGTTCATAGTTATTTCTCTATAACTATTTTTCGCCTTATCTCTCTGAGTGTTGATGCTTATGAGTGAGAGAAGGCAACACGCTTAAAGATTGATTTGATTTGATTGATGATGGGTTGATAGGGCGATTGGGTTGATAGATGGTTGAAACTTCAAAGACAACAATCGATGAGTGAGAACAGTGACTGAACAGTGATGACTGTTTGCATATATTTGTTTTTTTTTTTTTTTTTTTTGACTGCAATTCAATTGGCCGCTCGATTGTCTGATTAGGAGATTAATAGTTAACAGCTAAAATGGTTACAGATTTCGGTTTTGGGTTTGGGATTTCGGGATGGTTATCAGGTTTTCAGGTGATGTTTTGACGGGGGAAGTGGGAAACTGGGAAATTGGGAAAGTGGCGGTGTGTACATACATAAGCAAGGGTACATACATATACATACATATTCTCTAATTTGTATATATATACACACACATATGCGCTCTTCTCAACTACAAAGTATCATTAAAAATTAAATTAAATAGATTCGAATGTACGAGTACGAGTACGAGTACGAGTACGAGTATGTGTGTGTGTGTGTGGTGTCACGACTCAGCGCAAGGAGTGGTCCATTTTGATTAATATAAAACATTAAACACTTAATTAACGGAAACCAAGAGGGGGGTACAAATTGTATGTATGTATATCGGCATAATCGTTTCGTATATGTCTGTATGCATGTATGGAATGTATGTATGCCGCGTGTGCCACTTCCTGCCTATTAATTATCAGACATTCACTATAGAGCAGCAGGCCCCCCTCCTAATGTGAACGTACACCCGGTGTCCCGATGTTACGAGTAAGTTCATTAGATTCGAGTACTTGTAGTTTATTGCATCTCTTCCGCACATGCAAATACAATTCAAATATGATCATTTTTGGTGCGGTTGTTGGCAGAGTTTTGATGGAACAAACATACATACTATAGTAAGGTTCTAGGCATTACAACAGAGGTGGGCAATGCTACCATTTCTCCGAGAGGTTTCTCCGCTGCTCCGTCAGACGGCTGCAAAAGCAAAACGTACGCAATGCTCGACTGAGATTCGAGGGACCGAAATCCAAAAACAAAGTACACGTAGTGTACGCGACCGGGACTCGGGATGGAGACTGAAAAAAAAATTATACGCAGTGTGTGGTAGCTGCTCGAATCGAGCCTCGTTTGGTTCTGTTGTTCTGCTCCCAAACCCAAACACCACTACCTTACAGTAAGGGATTCGAACTATTGACAATCACCAGACAATGCCGAGAATGAGAGTAGTACCATATGGACATTTGAGTGGAAGACAGGAGCGAACACCAAAATAAGATTTGCAAAGCAATTTACGTGAACGAAAGAAGGACGCAAATTTGATTGAATGGTCGATCACATCGGTATGTCTCTTTGTATTCCATGTGGTGTGTAATTAGAGGATCAAATCTCGTATGATAGGTAATATTCACATTTGGTTTTTTGCATTGTCTTTTGAGTGCGCTTGAAGAGCAGATAAATCTAAAAAAAATCGACCCCCAGGCACTCGACATAACGCACTTACAATGTAATATATGTAGTAGCTGACCCTTAAATAATGCTTCCTCCATGGTTACTCACTGCCTAGGGGACTCGTGTTGCTGTGTTGCGAACGAATTCGGGAAAGCGGAAACGGGATCGGGTTCAGGTTAAGGTTGTTGGCTCAGGAAGTGGATCTCCTTTTGGATGGACTTAAGAAGGACTTTAAGGGGATCTTAAATGGTGAGCACACACAGTCAGTCACACACATATGTTGCGATACAAATACATTGATATTGGTATAAATCGGTACACATACATATAGTATATAGTATACATTTAGTATACGTATACAGGTTGAGAAGAAGGTTGCAGTGGTTCAGATTTCAGATTGTTGGGTGCGTTTCTTCTGGTTTTCTGGTGGCTTATGGATAGCTTTGATGAGTTTTTTATATGGTTTTTGGTTTTTGGTTTTTGTTTGATTTTTAGTACGAGTATTAGTTTTAGTTAGAAGTTTATAGCAGTAGTAAGTAGTATACAAAATATAAACTAGTATGTTTAATGCAGAGCAAATTATGTTTAGCAAAAAGAAAATTGACTTAGTTTTTATGATTTTTTCGTTTCATTTTTTCATTTTGGTATTTGGTATTCGGTTTTGTTTTTGTTTTTTTTTGGTTGTAAAATTTTCTTTATATTTGGATTTTTCAGTCATTACTCAGTAATTGCCTCTTTGAAGTTTGAACTCCATCGCCAGTTAAACTATGTGGGTTGTAGAGTTGTTGTTGGGAAACGATAATCAAAAAATGTTTGAGAAAAGGCAAGAACAAGAAGAAAACGAAGGTAAACCTCATTTTATAAGACGTTAAGCTTTGGATAAATTCAACTTTTGTGTGATCTGTTTCTGTTTTTTATTATTATTTTTCATATATATATTTTTTTTGGTTTCTGTTTGGCTTTTGTCAGCTTATGGTGAGATGATAGTAGGATTGAGATTTGATCGATACTTGGATTATATTGATAGTGTTTGCTAACTATTTGTTGATGCAATTTGTAATTGTAATTGCCATTTGTAAACGGTAATTGTAATAGGTTTAGGGGTAGTGGTTGGTTGGTTGTATGTAATGAGTGTTCAAATACCTAATGTGTAAGACCCAACAAAGGCAAAAGCTCAGTACAGTACAGTAGTTAGCTTGCAGGATGATTGGTAGGAGGGAGTTAGGGCTAAGGGTTATCTATATATATATATATATCGGCGAAGCTATATCGCGTTGGTGTTTTTAGCGGTGCGTTTTGCTTTTGCTGAGTAACATTCTCTCAACTAAAAACATTTTTCTTTCTAGGAATTGTAATTGAATTCAATTTGATTTGGTTTCTGGTTTCTGGTTACACTTGAAACTCTCGTTGAATGCATTTGGTTGATTGAATAGTTGGAATGGTTGGTTGGTTGGTTGGGTGTGAAATGATAGATGAACCAAAACACTATTTATTATAAACAACAGCCAATTGCAACTTATTCATAAGGTAATCGCACAAAATATATAAACCAAAACTACAAACGAATAAAAGTTAAGTAATCAAGGTCATTTCAGTTTCGATACAACTATGTAAGTGGTTTCTCTGTGGTTATTTTTATTTTGTATTCGTATAAATTTTCTTTGCTTTGCACAGAAATCTCAAATCTCAAATGATAAATCGCCGTTGGAGGAGTTTTTGAAATGGTTGGAGGAGGTTGTTGGTTGATGTGAAAAATGAGCTCAAAACTAAACTACAGCAGGACTCTCGGTCTCTCGGTACTTGTTGTCGTTAATCAGTATTCCCATTCGAATTAGATGACAGCGACTTCCCCTCCGAGTGAGACGTTGTCGGAGGAGGAAGGAGACAGACGGAACAGAGTTGACTTCTACGGGATACGAAAAGATGAGCAGTCGCGGGCTTAGTAGCTTCGTGTTTCGTGTGGTACATCCACAGTACCGAAGATCCACGAAGATAACGAGCCTGGACTGGAGCAGTGCTCCAGTGCGCGGTGAGAGGTGGTTTCGAAAATGAAAGCATAGCAAAACTCGATACATGATATGGTAGGACGAAAGCAATCTATTGTATGCAATCTCTGCGATAGAAATAGTAGTGGAAACAATACTTTTATACATATGTCTATATAGTCATGACACGTTATGTAGCAGTATTATATGTATATAAGTATATCGATATATGGATAAGGATATGGATATGGACATGTGGGCCTTTTGGCATCGCAAATTTCGCTTGGATCTTGACTTTGGACTTTGGACTTGGAACTAGCTCTGTGTAACTGTCTCAGCACAACGGGGGTCGTCGTCGACCCGTCTCTCTCTCTCTCTCTTTCTCTCTCCCCTGCGACCTTCCGCATGTTGCACTTTTGCACTTACCTTATCGGGCGCCGAAATGTCCGCAGACCGTGGTGGCTCTTCGCTGATTGCCGGCTCATTGGGCGGCAGACGCTGCTCCTGCACGCTTGCCAAACTATAGGATGGTGGATAAAGGGGGATGGATCAGATTAGCTATGGCTCCACTAAAGGAGGGGTGCGTGAAAAGCGACTTAGCGAGCGGCTACAAACCGTTTAAGCGTCACCAATGTCCCAGTTAGCTTCTTGCAGCGCCGCAGCGCCGACTCCAAGCGGTCGGGCTCTTCTTTGAGGAACTTTTCTTCGCGCACCACCTTCTCCATTTCGCTGGACAGAATGCAGCGCAAGCCATTCGACAGAGACGGAAACTTGAGCTTGAGTTCGGCCACCGTTTTGCTGCAAAAACAACAGCAACAAATGTTGCAACAACATCTGGCATAAGGGCATGGTAGATTTGTTACCTGGCGCGGCTCAACACCAGAGCCATGTCCTCCACAGCGGTCATGTTGACCCGTGTGCGCCGATTGATCACCTCACCGCGTAAATTCTCCACCGACGCCTCGAGGTCACTGAGATCCTTTTCCAGGCGTATGACCTCCTGCTTGTACAGCTCCTCCTCGCGCGAAACTCGCGTGGCATCTTGATCGCCCTGATGGCCCCAGAAGCTGCCGCTGCTCGCCAGCAGAGTGGCACGAATGCGCATAAATGTACCCTTGATGTCCTCCCGAACGGCTACTGCCTGGGCCTGGGACAGACGACGCAGGGTGCGCACCTCCATGCGAAGGTCCTTGGCTTTCTTCTGCAGCCCACGCAGGTGGTTGTAGACCTCGGGGGCCAGCGTTATGTCCGCCCGGTAGTTGGGATGTGCTGTCTGGGCCAGCACAATCGGCTTGGGTGGTGGAGGGGGCTTCAGGCGATCGCGCTCTGTGAAGATATCGTGGGACAATAAATCAATTGACTTGGATTTACGGCAAGAGTGCAGACTAGTGACTCGGCTAGTGACTCAAATTGAGATAGTGATAGTAACTGTGGTCATTGTTGCATGCGTGGCTTGTGTGTCGGGATGTGGAGAGGCTGTGTAGGTTGATCTCTTACCTTGTGATGATGTGCGTGGTAGGGTGGACGACTTGATTGCCGGCTTGGTAGGTTTCGTATCAGCTGTCCGTATCACAGGTCCGTTTCAGTTGCGTGACAAAAGAATGGGAAACATTTGGTATTGTACGATTTTCTTGACATTGTGTCTAAGGATGCAAGGCCTAAGTTGCCAATGGCAAGCACCCTTCCCCCCTGTACATATAATATTTCCAATGTCAAATCCACCTTTGGGCATTGAAGAATATGGAAATAGTATGCGCAAACAACAATAAGGAAAGCCTTCGACTCTTGGCTGAGGCTTTTAATACCCTTGCAGATGAATAGCAATATGATTTCTGATTCTCTTCGTACCGGAGATCACAAATAACTATTAATTGAAAAGAAACACCTATCCTGGAACACCATATACTTTTATTACCAAATTTTTTTGAAATAAATTGTTTAAACCCCTTTTTTTATTTATTATAAATTCTTAAAATACAAATTGAATTCAAATATATTTCTTTTCTCTCGAAAAATTATATTTACATTTAAAACCCTTTTGTCCCTAAATGACATATGTATGTATGTCAATTACTTGCATTCAGAGTTCTCTTAATTTCGAATTAGTGTTGGCAAAAATTTAATGAGATAACAAGGATAAAACAGCCATCAGAAATTAATTTGTGTTCCCAATATTTATGAAACAAATTAAAAATTAGATATTTCTGATGTTAAGAATAAAAATAAGAAACAATTTTAGTTATAAAAATTAGAATCCTTACGATTCACCGACGTTGGCATGTATTTTTATACTTGTCAATCGGCGAGCGAAAGGAATTGGTATATAAAGCATATCATCTAAATGATAAAGTTACACTGAGGTATGTATGTATCCTGTACATAAAAACTTTTCAATGTACTTTGTACGCAACAGAATTGGGTTGTGGGGACTGGATGAGTAGATTAAATCCTAACATCCTAACCACCAACATTTAAAAAAAAAAGCCGCGAATTGGTGAGTTTTGACACTTTTTTTACTCGGCATTTACAGTGCCGATAACCAAAAAAATTAATCGGTTGTTAAGAGAATTGAATGACCTTTCATACATTTCTTTATTCGTGCCCACACAATGGCTTTTCCTTAATATATAAATAGCCAAAGTTCTCTATCATTTTTACTGTTTCTTCAACATCGCCATTTTTTGTAATGGTATTTTTAGACTTTTGTTCTTTAGTCGCATTAATTCCCAACAATAAAAGCTACTAATCACTTAAAAACAAAACACATTCGATTATAAACAAAACGAAATGCAGAATGCTCGACGGAATGACAAATGCGAGTCCGCTTTCGTCAGCCCCTATAACTAACGCATAAAGCAGCCCCATATAGCGTGCACCAAGAGAAATCCAGCCACCCTATTTCCATAAGGATGATCGGCCATATTGGGATTGTACATTGGATATACACACTGGAGGTCTTACCCCTAGTATACGTATAAACATACTAGGGTCAGCCTGAGACGAGTACATAAAATACTGACTGGTAAAAATACTCTGCTGAACCCTCCACTGGATGGCAGAAACCCTGAAAAACCCCAGACAGCTAGTAATTCATTGTGGCATGCTCTTGTCAAAATGAATTCAGTGTCTAGCTAATGCGATTGTCCAGCGTCTTCCAAGTCATTGTGCACTTTCTTCCGACATTTTGGTCATTTTGCATTTGCGCAAATTTAACATATTTTAAATTATTAAAGTAGCTATTGGAAAACGACCATTGCTTAGTGTAATAAAAAGTGAGTTGATTTACTACAAGTTTCGCATCTTTGAGATTCTTTGGACTAATTTGGTTGGAAACTAATGCCACCACAACAAAGTCTAATAAAAATACGCCTTAAACGAGGGGGAACGTTGTGAGTTGCTGCGGACACCGCAACTCTACAGTTATACCCGATACTAAGTCTGTATGGCTTTCCTCCGGCAGACGCCGCTAATATTAAACGACACGACAAAGAGTGCGTGCGAGAGAGACAGAAAATCAGTCTGAGCGTGATGTCACGCGCTGCGTAGCCACTGCAAATTGATTTGTTCCTTTTGGCTACAAAAATTATCTGATCTGATCCAGATTCAGCAATCTGATAGATATGGTCGTTATCTATGATTCTGCGTTTTTAGTTTTCTCAAATCTGCAATATTGTGGATGCCACAGATTTTCGTCCTTTGTGTGGGCGGAAGGGGGTGGGGCGAAATTTTGAGATACACGTTTTATAGTGAGATCTAAGAGAAGTGCGGATTCCAAATTTGGTTACTCTAGCGTTAATAGTCTTTGAGATTTGTGAATATCCCCAGATTTGCATCCTTTGCGGGGGCGGAAGGGGGTGTGGCGAAATTTTGAAACAAACCCGTCTCGGTCTGATATATTAGGAGTGTGGATACCAAATTTGGTTGCTCTAGCTTTTATAGTCTCTGAGATCTAGGCGCTAATGTTTTACTCTAAGCAAAGCTGCCTATGCTACCTGTGTGTTAGAGAGAGACAGGGCGAGAAAAAATGAAATTGTTTTCTTGATTCTGGCTATAATAGTAATACGATCCAATTCAGATTCTGCAGTCTAAAAGATATGGTCATTCTCTACGATTCTGCGTTTTTTGTTTTCTCGTATCTTTAAAATTGTGGATGCCACAGATTTTCGCCCTTTGTGGGGGCGGAAGTGGGCGGGGAAAAGTTTTGAAATATTTTTGTAGCAGTGACATATCACGGAAGTCTGGATCCAAAACATCGTTGCTCTAGCTCTTATAGTCTTTGAGCATTAGGCGCTGAAGGGGACGGACAGACGGACGGACGGACAGACGGACAGACGGACAGACAGACATGGCTCAATCGACTCGGCTATTGATGCTGATCAAGAATATATATACTTTATGGGGTCGGAAACGATTCCTTCTGGACGTTACACACATCCACTTTTACCACAAATCTAATATACCCCAATACTCATTTTGAGTATCGGGTATAAAAATAGAGCAGAAACGTTGTGAGCCACGGAAAGTGCCGCTGCTCTGCATTTATACCCGATACTCAGTGAGTATGTAGTATATGTATGTACATATGTGTGAACTATTTTTGTATACATCTGCCGCTTTCTCTCCATTCTCCCCTACGCCAGAGCGAGCACACTGCACTCCTTAAGGCTATAATAAGGATCCGATCCAATCCAGATTTGGCAATCTGCAAGACAAGGTCTCTCTAGTCTCCTTGATTCTGCGTTTTAGATTTCTCGTATCTTCTTATCTTGAAATACACTTGTTACAAAGTGATATCACAGGAGTCTGGATACAAAGTTTGGTTGCTCTTACTCTCATAATCTTTGAGATCTAGGCGCCCATAAGGACAGACGGACAGACAGACATGGCTATACGGAATCGGCTATTAAGGATGATCTAGAATATACATATATACTTTATGGGTTCGGAAATGCTTCCTTCTGGCGGTTACACACATCCACTTCCACCAAAAATCTAAGATACCCCTATACTCTTCGAGTTATATCAAAAATATTTAATTGAAAGCTGACCTAACGTTCCTATGGCAGTCTTAGCGAACAGATGGTTTCACAATTGAGGGACTGGGTCTTATACAAGAGAAACAGACAGGCGAACAAAAGGACATTGGCTATATCGACTATGAGTAATACCCTCTGCAAAAGTATAAATATTTACACATGCAACATTTTGAGTTTTAATTACCGGCATGTAGTGGATTATGAGACTTGGGATTATGGCCCTGTATGTCATCGCTAAAGGACACTGATTTCTCAAAGGACACGGATTTCTCTGCAAGAAAATGGAATAATGTCGGCTGTTGCAGAGGCAGAGATGCAGCGTATACACTTACGGCACGAGTTCTTGCCTAACTTGGGAGCCTTCTCCCGAATATACATGTCGTCCCCGGAGCCATTGGCTGTGTGCATAATAGAGAAAGAAAAAGAGAAAAAAAGCGAGACAGCACTTGTTGTAGCAAGAAATTAAATAAATACATATACATATATGGGAATATGGGTCTGTGGGTCTCTGTGGGCTCTGTGGGTTACGGAGTATGCAGACCATCGGCGGCTGTCAGTTGAAGTCGTGAATTTTGTGCTAGAAGCATTCAAGCAGGACGCGTTGATGTGCAGGATACGTGTGTGCAGAATCCAGCATACATATATGTAGCTGCGGCTACAAACATCTAACAGAGAGTACACATCGAGTGGTGGTGCCCTGCTCGGCGGGTTGTTGTGAGTGTGGTTCGAGTGGATTGTATATACGTACCTTGCATCTGGGACTGGGATGGCACAACGAGATAGTTGGAGTCCAGTGTGGGCACTGGCAGGGGGGCAATTTGTGGATTCTGATTGACCAAAGCCTTCTGCACCAGGCCCGTCAGATTGGCCAACTGCCTCTCCATGTGCTCCACGCGTATGCGGTGCAATTCTTCTGGCCTGCAAAAGAGACATCAACGAAAAAAATACATCTATGTACAAAAACTGGTTGGCGGCTTGCGTATCAGCAAATTATTGCGTATTGCGTGTTTTCATGTCGCGCATTCGCATTTACTGGGCCACACTTCCGTCGCTCCAATTGCGCAGTCTCGCAGTCGGAAAGCCTAGGCAAAAGACAGCGGCACCGGCACTGGCACCGGAATCAAAGTCGGAACGCGGGTCGCTGCAGCACTTAGCGCATGGGAGCGTAAACCAAAACCAGCAAAGAATGCTGCTCTTGGCTCTAGACTGATAGGACTTGGAGACACCCTGCAGATCAAGACAAATGGACAACAATAAGGGGATTGATTGTGCTCTGGTATCCATCAATCAGACTACCTGCTTGCGAAGCTGGGCTTTCATGTAGTCTATAATACCCGCGAAATACAGCCAGCGAAATGCTTGGTGCACCGTGTTCACCTAGTGCACGCAATGACGTACCATGTTGGGGCTCTTGTCGTACTGCTTTCTCAGTTGCAGTGGCAGTTCGCAGTCGAATGCAAGTGGGGACCAGTACAAGAACAGCCCGGTTTTTAAACAGCAACATTAACAGAACCATGGCCTATTGCAGTGGTATGTACACACGATATTTGATTGACCAACTACTCATGGCCCTGCACTCCACTTATAACCGAAAATTGAAACACATTTCGTACCCAGTGACCAGTACACCTGATCGTTTCGCACAGTGTCTGGCAAATTTTCAAGTGGATGAGCTTTTGATGCTGGAAAAGTCCATGGAGAGAATGGAGGTTGTTGATGACAGCCCCAGTCCCCGCGAAGATGTAGCTGACCTGGACTCGGCCCCCACCACAGACTGCCCTGAGGCAAAGGCATCTGCCACCGTTATGCCCCAGCGAATGGCCTTGATGGCAGCCGATCGGTGGGTCGTCTCATTCCTTGCGTAATTTTCCATAATCTCCCGTGTGAGTTGCTCGTTTGCAGGGGAGACCATGACAGTACTGGCTCTCATGCAGCCTGGCACACTGCGCCGTCCTGGATGGAACCGAAGCCGTCCAAGCTGCAGACCCTGTTCCAGGTCAGCATCACGGCTCTGGCCTTTCTCTCGTTCGGTGGCTACCTGCTCTGCCTGATCGTTCAGGCAATCAAGAGCAAAGGCACAACCTACTTCCATCCGGTGGCCACCGCCACGAGCACCTCGAACAATGGGAATGTCAAGCGCATAAAGATCTACAGGCGGAGCAAACGGAGCACTAATCAGAGCCCCCAGGGAGTGGGAGATATTCCCATCAAGAGCATCCTTTTGCAGCAGGACTATGCCACCTATATGAATGCGGTGCGCGGTCAACGCTGGGCGATGCTCACCTAGAGGGATCATAGATCTGATTGCCGCGATGCGCCATCCGGTTGGGACCCGGTACCTTGATGCCGTACAACGCATACTGATCCTCGGTGAGGGCAACATCGCTATGGGTACAGAATAAACACAACAAAAATAAGAATGATTTCTGCCACAAATCCATCCGACGCACGTGCTTACCTCTGTTCCTCGTCTATGATGGGTGCCACAACAGCGCCCCGTGTCCCATATTGGCTATAGTAGGGCTCCTCGTAATTGCCACGGCTGCTGCGCTCTGGAGAACTGGTGTAGCCGTCTGCAAAATGGTTTTTCGCATAGCTCAGATTGTAATTGTTTAGTGGTCTTTGGGGGCTGCTCATTCATGCATATTTATAGGCATATTTTCTGTTAGAATTTAGGAATAACCCATAGGGGAAAGAACAAATAAAACTCAAAATTCAAGAGATTGATGGGTGTGGAAACTGATAAAATTAATGCTCTCTGATTCGTCTTTGATCGTGTGTCAAACATTGTGTTCAAATTCCGAAACCCATAACGCAAGCACAAAAGCCAATGGAATATGCAATATGGAATATGGAATATGGAAAAGGGGTGAGGTCTTGTGTGAATGTGTGTGTGTACATAGAAAGCGTTATACGATTCTTAGCTAAGTTTTTGGATTAGAAAAAGGCATATAGTAGTATTAGCTGGTGTACCTGGAATGCTGTATAACTGATCCTGGGTATAGGGAAACAGGGGTTCCATGCTACCCCTTGGATTGACTGATCTTAGTGGTTTCACAGGCGCTCCTTTACAGGGTATGTTTTTGGGGTGTTATGTATGTGTATGTTTGGATGTGTATTTGTGTATGTGTTTGTGTTTGTGTATTGGGTTAATGAATTGAACATGATTCATATTTAGATAGAAAGTTTCACTAGATACGAATAGGAGTACTTAAGCGAACAAAAATATAGAAATATACTTAAGAAATTACTAAATCAAAGGAGCATGGAGTAGGAGCAAAGACAGATCACATAGCCCCGGAGGATTCCGATCAAAATTAAATTATCAAAAATTATTATGAAATTATTATTACCCAAAAAAACCGAATGTAAGAAACGCAATATGCAAAAAGAGATAGTCGAGGAAAATAATATAATTTCCATGGAGGGTATCTACATATGTATCTACAATACGCACCCATCGAGACTTTGTTGCGTTCTGATGAGTACATGCCACGGGGCAAGGTCTGCGATGAGCCCACATAGTAGGGCGCCGGCTGTTTGCCAATCTGAAAAAACATGGGTTTGAATGTTATTAAATTGCCACAAGGCTCAGGGCATGAGTAAGGGAATTTCTATATGCTCAACGCTGCCAATTGGCCTTCGTTCAAGTAGCGAAATGTTCAACAATAGTTTCTCTTCTCTTAAACTGTCCACACGAGCACGTACACAACCGGAATCGGAATCAGAGACTTGCAATAGACTTGCCATAGGCCACTGGCCGCCAACTTGTTACTTGTTAAGATTAATGCCCATTAATTGGCATTTGACCCCACCCACCAGTCAATCATCAAAACCGTTTGCCAAACATTCATCGAACATGAAAGCTTTTCCCTGTTTCCAATGAACTCATTTCGAGGATCCCTCAATTAGGCGCACAAATTATTTTCGAGGCTGTGCACGTGTTTGCAATGATTGGTTTTATTTTATTTTTGTTTATTCATCATCTGGTATTCCAGAGTCCAGACATGGCCATAGAAAAAAATACGAGTCTGTGCCGCATAAGGGGTTCAGGTTCTATCGGGATTGCAAATTAGTTCAATTATGGAATGTCTGTGCCTCGAATCATCCAGTGGCAGTGGGACGACATGCTGCTCCCGTCATCTCTGTGGTGCAGCAGCAAGTGCAAGTGGTCGGTCGGTCGGACGGTCGGACGGTTGGCCCATTCGCTGTGCCACCAGTTATGGCAGCAGCAACAACAAGCAGCAGCAGTAGACAGTAGACAGCATACAGCAGATAGGCAGACCTCAACCAGTTTCAGTTTCAATTTCAATACAACAATTTTACAATTTGTTACAACTGAGCGGCGGGAGCCCGAGAGCAGTGTGCTGAGAGCTCTACTCTACAGTCCAACACTCAACACTGTGCAAACGGTGTGCCGCTCTTTGGTCTGCCTGGGATTTCGGCGCAACTTAACTTGGCTTTGGCGCATGCGTGGATGATTAGTGAAGTGCGATCCATCGCGGCAAGCAGACGTTGCAGATCGAACTGAGTTTTCGTTAGAGATATCCCGAGATACAGATCCCGAAAATGTACACAGAAGTGAGGCATATCCTCAGGCAAGCGGCACCGGAACTGTTGTTTCCGCTGCTCGCGCTTCTCGCGCTAAATGTGTGCCCTTCTTCGTTCGCCTGGAAGCCAATTGCAGTCTCCTCGGGCCCTGCCAGCAACGGTGGCAGCAGCAGCACAGCCTCCTACAGCCTCAAGCAATCCCACCCGGGATCCGCCAGCAGCAGTCACGAACTGGCCACAAGCTTTGCCCAGTTCGGCGCTGGCAAGGACTCGGAGGAAGGCGGTGTCGGAGGAGGCGAGGATGAACTTCTTCTGGCCCGCTCCGCCATTGTGAATGGTGTGGATCATCCATCGTCGGTGGCTCATCCCATAACGTTCGGCGATCATGTGGAGGATCAGTACGAGTCCTATAGCATCGAGGATGAGGCCCACAAGGAGCCACAGCTGACCTTCACGCGCACACCGCTCTACGGCTCCGATCGATGCAGTGTGAAAAAGTTTGCATTCAATCAGGACGGAGAGGTGGAATATCGGAATCCGCTGCTGCCCGAACTGGATCAGTTTACGCTCTGCTTCTGGATGCGTTTTACCAATCACAGTGGGGATCATGTCCTTCTGACCTACGAGGGTGAGTCAGCCCCAGCCCATTTGCGGATTGGATTTATGAATGTAGGGTAGGGTAGGGTAGGGTAGGGTAGGGTAGGGTTGGGTAGGGTCAAAGCCTCTCACCATGACTTGCTTCATCGAGCCCAGGCCCCCACACAATAAGAGCCCCAACGAGTGACCAATCTCGAACTATTATATAAGCTCGGGAGGGGGCAATAGACGTAAGTCTATTGATGCCCCACCACAAAGCCAGCAGCCGGCAGCCACCGACCAGTGACCAGCGACCAGCAGAGAGACCTTCGCTGTGCGCAACGAAATTTGTGGGCCACGCTCCGGCGGCGACGCTTGCACCTGGCTGTGACTGTGAAAGTGAAAGGAAGCCGACTTCCTGATGCAAGTCTTCGACCCACCACCGCCGCCAGTCCCCAGTGTCGACTGAAGACGACAGGTTGACGATCCACAAAACAGTCAGTCTGATGGTCAATGATGATGCTGTTTTGGGGTCGTGTCCGGTTGTTTGGGTGTTGTCGAAGAAGGGCGGGGCAGGACGGGGCGGGGCGGGGCGGGGAATGGCATCCATTGTGTTTTTCTTTTAAGTAGCTGCTACCTTTCAGATAAGATTAAGATTTGATTTTCTTCGTCTTCATATCTGACAATTTTTCAGCGCGGCAGCTGCCCCATCGCTGATGTTGTTTTTGTTGTTGTTGTCGTTGCGGTCGCCGCTTACATAAGGCGATAATTTACCTGTTTCCAGTTGGATGTCGTCGGCCGCTGGCCCGTTGTACCGCTGTCCACTGTTTTAGTGCCTGACTTTAGCATTTGACATAATTTCAAAGATTCAATTCAAGTAGCAGCCGAAGCCGGCGCTTCCGGATTGCGGCCCAGATGCTGACCGAGAGACAGACAGACAGACAGACAGAGAGAGGGAGAGAGAGAGAGAGAGAGCTGCTAACAAGCGGGGAAGACAGCCAGTGACCAGCTAGGAAATTGTTTAGTCACAACAACGAATGATTCATAATTACTATAAAATGCATATCACATGCTAAACAGACGACTAACAGGATTTTGGCAGCGGGCCTTCCACAGGCTTCGAGCCGCTGATTGTGCAACGTGTATCCGAGGCTTCCTGCTTGGACTGGGGCTTAAGCAACACTGAATAAATGGCATTGATCCTTTGGTGCATGCGTTCTGCCTTAGTCTCCCTGGGCCTTGTGATTGTGTTGGTCTATCGTCGTTGGATTGCTATTGCAGCATCGATTTGATTCGATTTGATTTCACAATCATCATCGCCATCAATGGCATTTCCAATCCAATCCACTGATCCACTTTTTCCATCCATATATCCACAGCTGGCAAGGAATCGCGAGAGATACAAATCTGGGTCGCGAATGCGCAAAATTCCAGTTTCCTTTCGATGGCCATAAAAGGTCAGCAAATGTACAGGTGAGTCGTGGAATACATTGCACTACATCCATCGATCAATCCACCTGACTAATCGTGGTAATGATTTCATGCTTGGTTTCTATTTCTATTTCTGTTTCTGTGTCCGTTTCTTTTTCTGCTTCTGCTGTGGCGATGAAGACTCAACTATCCGCTGCGAATGCGCCAGTGGCACCACATGTGCACCTCATGGAATGGAAAGACGGGCGAGTGGCAGGCCTGGCTCAAGGCAGAACGCATTGGGCGTGGCTTCCACAACTCGGTGAGTAAACACAACACTCTGCTGCTACTGCTGCTACTGCTGGCCACGGCCCCGTCTCCAATTACTGCCAATTGCAAAATTATCGAGTCAGTCTCTGAGGCTGCGCAATGCCCCGACGCTTTTACTTTCGTCGCGCTGCCGTTGTCGATGACGAGATGACGAGGAGGTGCTGTAATCCAATTTATAGCCGGCCCACTTCTCTTCTCTTTTTGCAGCTTGTGGGCCATAAAATTCCAGCAAATGGAAAGCTACGCTCCGGCGGCACCTCGATCACCGGCGAGGTAAGCCACGGCCTGCACTTTGAGATGACAATGGTCCAGGTCTATCGCGTGGCCCTGAGTGCCGGCAAGGCCCACCGCGATCACAAGCATCACCACGTGCATCATTTTGATCATGAAGGACAGGAGGTATCCAGTACAGTGCGGCCCCCACCCATAGTGAGTTTCGGTTTCGATAGTATAGATGGGGTTCTAGCTTCAACTTTCGGCCTTCTTTGTAGATAAATCGACCACAGCCTATGCACACGCTCCTGGCCAGTGGCCAGATCCCTACGCGGTTGCGCATTAACCTGGCCAATCCATCCAATCCTTCCAGCGATGGAGCTGCAGCGCCTGCTGCTGGATCCGATGCAGCACAGCAGCAGCAGCAGCAGATCACATTTAACACAAACTTTGTGAACGGACAGATCAACGCGGGCTCTCGTCTGGTGGCACAGCAGCTTCTGGGGCTTCCGGCAAAGAATGGCATTCCTCAGCAGTCCTCAGGTAGCCGTTTCCAAATGCTAAGCAACTCCGCGAATGTTCAGTTCATCGACGAGACTGAGACCCACATACAGTTCAAGCGAGCAGCAGCAGGAGCAGCAGATGAGAAGAAACTGAAGAAGCGCGGACTAGTGCTGTTGGATGACGGATCCGTGGTAGACGATGGCACAGACACCGATGCCAGCGAGGTCTATAACGGCCTCGCCGACTACGGCGGCCAGCAATTCAAGCAGGATCTGACCCTCAAGATGAGTCTCGAGGAGGAGATCAGCACGCACGATCGGGAGCCCGCCGAGGAGGAGGTCAAGGCCGTCATGGCCATTTGCAGCAGTTGCCATGCAGAGCCCTTTCAGGGTGCCATCGTCTTTGCGTGGAAGGAGGTTCAGGAGCACATGAATAACGCACTCAAAGGCCTTAGCGTGGGCACCTGCGGTAACTTCTAGTTCTGGTCGCCACCTGCCACCTGTGGCAAGCAGTCTTTAGATTAGTCCATGTACCATAGACCCCCTTCTTTTTGTTTTGTTTTTTTGTATATACGAGTGTCTGTCATTTCGGTGTGTGTGATTCCGATTCCGCTTGTCCGCGTGCATGTCCATGTGGGAGTCAACGCTTTAGAGTGGAGGAAGTGGAGGCTCCCCAACGATCCTTGACTCGCTCATGGACATGACCCACTCTATCCGCATCCTCACAAAAACCTCTAGCAACTACGCGGTGATATTGAATAAAAAAAAAGATTATTTAAACGAGGCCGCCCTCCTGCTCACCTTGGATTTGTGGATGTGCTGGTGCTTGTAGTCCGAATCGAATTCCGGTTCGCTGAAGTAGCTCTGGTCCTGATCCCAGTTGGCCGGTGCCTGAGACTGGGGCAGGGGCTGGGGTATCCCGGGACCGCCGGGCAAGATCTGTGGTGGTGCTGCCACCTCTGTGGACTCGAAGAGGCGCAGCACAGAGCGGTCGCGGATTTCGCGAAGATGGGAGCGCACATCCTCCAGCTCGTAGAACATGTCCTTGCTGGCGTCGTGTATGTAGATCTTTACGTTGGGTCCCTCCAAATACGACATGGTCAATTGGCGCGGAAAAGACCGCACAAACAGCGCACGGACCGTGTCAATGGAGGTGATCTCGTTTGGTAGCAGTGCTCGCTTTGTCTCCGAGCGGTATTGCAGAAAAACCAGTCCCAATGGCCGCTCGAGTGTCTTTGAAGGAGTGCGCACCACAGGCAGAGAAGAGCGCTGCTTCCCGCCACGACGAAATCCGGTACTTGCAGTCTCCACCTCGGACATAATCCCCGGATCGTCGTCAAACAACGGGCCCTGATTGACTGGAGCATATCCACGCATTGGCTGATTCTTTTTGTTCTTTTGAGCGCGTGTGCTCATCTGGGAATATCCATCCAAATCATTGCAAATATTGTGGCATACTTATGTTTTTTTCCAAAGCTTACCTCCAGGTCCATGGCGCGCTGCTGTTGAGGGGCCATTTGATGTGCGTGCGGATGCTGTGAGCCACCGTAAACCATTATGTCTCCGCCAAGTGTGTGGCGCCTGGGGTCGTCGCGTCGCATGGCGCGTCGTCGTTCGTCACCGCCTCCTTTCAAATGCAATAAAACAGACAGACAGATCAGTAGCGGAACCAGATAACAGGATGTTTAAGAAATCTGGCACTTACCCTGTTCATTTGGCGGCATTCGTCCGGATTTGTTTTCATTTTGCCAGTCTTCTTCTGAAATGGAAATAAACACAGATGAGTTTTGCACTGCGTTTTTCAGCACTGCACATATAGCGAGCACGCGTTAGGACGTTCTTCATCCTTTTTACTAACGGCTCCGTCTACTTACCGCCTTCTCGTCCCTTGCGTTTCTTTTTTGATGATGAACTGTTGCTGCCGCAGGCATTTTGATTTGCGGACGCGCTTTTATCTTTACTCTTCCAGCGTATCAACATTTTGTGATAGTGTCCTGTCCTTTTCGATGTGTGTTCTTTGATGGGGAGCTGCAAATTGAGTTGAAAACAACAAGCGATAAGGTTAAGGTTGGATTTCTTTGGTCGGATAACCTTCTGCATTACTAATTTAGCTCAACCCCCATAGCTTGAGATCGCCTCGTTTGTGAGCAGTGTACATATGTGCTAATTTCAGGAGTTCTGCTGATCTGCAGCTGAGTTTCGGGGGCCATCATCTTAAAGGTCTGAATGGTAAATCGTTTTTGAATAGTTATTGCACTAAAATATGTACAATTATGTAAGCTACGAAGTTTGAGCTGAAAAATGTACAATGACTGCACTATCAAGTTGTCCTGGCGAAACGCAACGAGGGGCGCTGCCGCATGACGCGTAAAGCGCTAGTGTATATTACAGTCCCAAATATTGTATTAACTATGCTAATATACGCATTATTATGCACTTGTTTTGTTGTCGCAAGAACGCAACGCACAAGAATTTAGTTATTTTCGGGCTGTTAATTTTTAAGTTTTTAGAGAGTTCTTCAAGCGGAAACAGTTTTGGCATTACCATTAAAAGCATTAAGATGCATTTGAAATATGTTTGTTTGATCTTAAAGCTCACTTTTAAAGGAGGTCCTAAAAATTGAGCTCCATTCAGAACGAACTCCTGTCGATCAACCATGCATGTAACTATGTAAGTGTGGTATATGTATGTTTATATGGGTGTTGCATATACTTAGGTGTACATATGTATATACATCGTGAACATATACAATATGCATTGGTGGTACACTTTTCAATGCATATCTATACATAAATATGTATGTACATACATACCTATGTACATACGTACAATATGCACTTAAATATGTGCCTATGTATATAAAATTGCGTTGGTGTCGGTTTACTGAAAGAATTTTTGATTAGATTTAGGTGCGGCGTTCTATCCGCACTCACACTTGCAGCCCAGCTCCCTTCCGCCCCCAAAGACGGCGCTCTTTGGCGAATGTACATACATACGTATATGTATTTATGTACATACATATGTACGGGAAAGTGTAGCCGCCTGAACTTAATACACATTCATCCACGTATACCTGCAAACAACTATGTAGTTCTCGGCTTTATTTTACATAGTTTTCAGCGGCACAAAATATTCTATACACCTGGAACAGGCCGCCCGCCCCATAGGGGGTCCCGGGCTCGAGCCCCGGGCCCTCCTCTGTGTATGTGTGTACCCCAAGTACCGAGGTATGTACAGAGATGTATATGTTGCACGAAGAATGCAAGTGGCAAGTGGGAATCCGTTATAAGTTTAGTGGCACACACTACACACACACACACACAACGCGAGTGGGCCGGTGGTTTTTTTGTGGCTGGGATGCCTTACCGTTTCGGTGTGCCACACGCACTGGGCATTTATTAAACGCTCCCAAAAATTAATACAGGGGAGGCCATGGACCATCCGGGGGTACCCAGGTCGGGAAGCTTACCGTGTGAGCCGTCGTATGCGACCGCTTTTAAAAACCGTTCGATGCGATTTAACGTAGCACTAAGCAGCACAGCCACCGCCACAGTAGAACAGCAGAAGAGTAAAAATATTTCTGGTATATCTACATCAGAAAAGCGTTTCCGCCCTAAATCGTACGCGGGCTACTTTGACAGGCGCATGCGTGGGGCGAGTGCTCTGTGCAGTGTTGTGCTGCTAGGGAGGATAGATAGGAGACAGAGGCTTTCCAGTCGCTTCGAGTTGTTGACTTCATTTGCACACTGGCCAAAGGACTGCATTATGATGCACCAGAAGGACGTTTTTACGAACAATTTACTTGAATTTACCTACTGTGGGGGGAGGCAGTTATGCTCATGCTCCTTTATCTTATCTTTATCGCTATCGCATATGCATCGACTGTTTTCTATCGGATATCGCTTGCTATCGATTTCTTCTCAAAATAATAATTCGTTGTAACTAAACAAAACTCTTTTTGTGTCGGTGGAAATATGCACTGATTGTTGCATACAATAATAATACTACGATATAGGTCAAGCCATGATTAGAAAGGAATCATAAGATCGAGCCGCCTCCAGTGACATTCTAACATTTGCATCTGGATTCCTTTTAGGTCATTTATTCATTCACATCATGACTCCGCAAGGCCGAAGAGAGCGCAAGAGATGGAGTCTTAGTAATCGGATAACTTTTGATGGGAAAGTACTCTTTTGGTGCCATCAGCACGTGTGGATAGCACACGAGCGAGCAAATTTAGTTTTACTTTCGTAGTTCGCTTACGCCCAATGACTAATCTTTGATATTGATGATCTTAAGCCTGCTCTAAGAGAGATAGAGTGACACGGATAACACTACAGGTAGGGCCAAGGACAAGGATTTTCAAAAAATACGGCATCAGACACAGTGAGAAGGAACACCCTTTGGTCTAAGGGTACTGGACGGGCTATTAATTCTGATTCATCTGGCAAGACAATGATCACATGTCCACGATGTCGCAGCTTCCTTCGAGCTGACTGATTCACGAGACTTTCCATAATTTGGTTTATCATAAAATTGTTAGTCTTTCCATACCAACTGGCCCAGGGGAGTAGGACCCGGCGAGCTCTTACTTTTTGGTACTCCAAGGAACGGAGTGTAGATTCTTCTTAAGACGTATCCACAATGCAAGAGTGATGGAGCGCACTGAGTCACATCTACATATGTACATGGTGCAGCTTACATGATATATATATTTTTGAAGTTCTATTTTTACATATTTCCCTTTTACATGATGAATACAGCAGTAGGATAGGGATATACAGAAATGTATGTACAGTATAGTTTATTCCGATCTAGGGGCGGGGATCGGTTAAATATAATACAGGTTTCTCAATCTTCGACACCTACAATATTTATTCGGGTGTGTTGTGTGTGTGCATGTGTGTGGATCATCTGCTAATGATGTGATGCACACAAACTACACTTGGCTTAATCGAAATACTTGCATAGCATTAAATCTAATTGTGTGTGTGTGGTTTTTTGTATATATGAATATTGGGTTCTCTTTTCCATTTTTTTCTGTATGCCTGCAAATTTACTATTTTCTCTCCTATAAATTTTTACAAATATTCCTTACGTTTTTTTTTCCAAAAATCTCTGGGCTCTAATCTTCCTTTTCTTTCTTCTACTTTGTACGTTTGTTTTTTTATCGTCTCTCATTCCGTTAAAGCTTAAACTTAAATTTATGAGAAAGACAGAGATAGAAAGAGTGGTATAGAGAGAGTGAGAGAGAGGGAGAAAGAGAGAAACAAAATCATGAGACGGGTGGGGTTCGTGGTTCGGGGGTACACTGGGAAAATCATGAGGGCGCGAATTACTAAATCTACTTTTATATTTGCACTACTAGCTAATGCTAGGAAAAGTCTGAGCCCGCGACTACATCGTGACGCGAGTCCGGCTATTGGGGAATGATATTATGGCTTGGCTTTTGGGGCTCCGTCTGGCCCGTTCTTCAGCCCAGTTTACGGCGACGCGGTAATGGAACCGTGGATGTGGTCGCTGTGTGAGCCATCACGGGCAGTGCCAGGGCCACGGGTGGTGCAAAACCACCGCCTGCATACTGCAGATGCTGCACCACCGACAGTTGGGGCTGCTGCTGCTTGAGCAGCTTGGCGGCGGCGTGTGCTTCCGCAGCCACCACTGGGTAGACCAGATCGGATCCGAGCCCTCCGGCTGTGTTGTTGATGCTGCTGCTCTCGCAATCGTCGTCGTCTGAGATCAGTGATATGCTGAGGTCGCTGGACAGCTTGAGGGATATGGGCGTGGGGGGCGATGGCGCCACCAGAGGCGCCACTTTGGCACGCAGGGCTGGCGACAGCTTCTGCAGCTGCTCGGGCAGCAAATCGTGCGTGTACTCAGGTACTCCGCTGGACGCGAGACCCTCACGCAGCTTGCTCAAGGAGAGCTCGTAGATGCGATTCGCAATGACCGTGTGCACGGTGGTTTCGTCCGGCAGTGTGGCCGTAATGCCGCTCCCGACATCTACCTCCAGATATCCATCGTTGCCGTTGCCGTGACCGCTGTTGCTGCTGGCGGCTCTGCCCATGCCATTGGTGGTTGCTGTGTGTGGCGGTGCTGACGGTATGTTGCAGGCTTTGTAGTTACCGGAGTGAGGCGGGTGGGAGTGTCGCAGGCGTGCCTGGCAGTTGGCAGTGGTGGTATTTCGCGGCACCAGAGACACAGTAACCTCTTCGACGGTCTCCGAGAGTGTTAGGGGTGCCAGCGGTGGGGGCGAGCGCATCGAGTGCTGCCTGCGCACATACTTGGCGATGGCATTGTCGTTGTTCTCGTCATCACTGGTTATCAGTATGCTCTCAGTCAGAGATTGTGAGTGTGTGGATGTGGATGTCCCCCGCCCCAACACACATGTAGTTGTCACAGCGTTGCCCTGGGACATGCCGTGTTTTGGGACCCTTCGCTGTGTGTATCCCCTGCTGCCGCCGCCGCCTCCGTCGTGTTGGTGGATGCTGAGTGTGGTTGCCGGCATAAGCAGCAAGTTCGGCTGATGCATGAACAGGCTGTTGCACGTTGATGACGCACCTGCCGGTACTGGCTTTGGCCTCGGCTCCACAATCGCGTTAACGTCGTTGGTGTCGTCGTCGTCGTCTGACAGCAAATCGATAGTGACATCTGCAGGCAGTGTGGCAGCGGCCAGAAGATGATGCCTTTGCAGCGTTGCTGGGCAACGCCGTCTGCCACGTTCAGTCTTAGAGGCGAACGCCTGCTGGGCGCGCATCTCGGCCTTGCAAGTCTGTTGGTGCTCACGCAGGCGCTCCATCCATTTGCAGCGGCGTCGTTTGAGGCGTCTGTTGTCGAATAGCCTGGGCGATATGTAAAATGGTTCGGAATGTCTTTGAGTCATATCTGAAAGTTGAAGAAAGAAGACATATGGTGAAATCTGTAGACGATGGCATCCAGCGGACTCTTCTTGCTGCTTGCTTGCCCAACCGTTCAATTGCGTTCCGATTGTTGTTCCTTCCTTCGTTTGCGCTCCTTTCCTAGCTCTTGTTTGCCGATGGGGCGCCGTGCGAATTGTCCAGCAACTGTTGCACCTCCGCCACCAGCAACAACACCACCTCCACCACCACCACCACCACTACCACCAACGCGAGTACAGTTAGATCTGCTGGCGCTGTTGTTACGGCTGCTGCAACTTGCATAATTGCGTCTCAGTGGAAAATGCACTCTCCCGTAGGGGCTGCTCTGGTTTAGGCGCTCTGCCACCTTATGCACAACATTTTGATTTGGGAACTTTGCCGCGTTCGTTAGTTTTCTGTACGCAATGCAGCTAAATGTTGCGCTTTTGTTGTATTTTTTGTGATTCCGAGTCTGTTTATTTTGTGGTAGTAAGTGTGACCGCGGTCAAAATATACCGTAAGGCCCTTAGAAAAATACCAAAAACTACCGTACATATACCGATGGAAAATACCAACTTATTTCCTCACTATATGAACAGGTGAACAACTTGAGATAAACCATGGAAAATAATACTGTTTGTGAATCCTTGTTGCAGATTCATGTCATCCTACTCTTTACTTAGAAAAAAAATTGCTATCTTTCTTCAAGTTTTATCACCTTCGGGGAGTATATTTATCTTCCTCCTGGTCGACAATGGGTTAATCGTTCTCTCTGCGAGATCGGAAATCCGAGTCCGATGATAATACTCGGTTTAATATTACTTGACAATATAATTGTATCCGATTGATGACTCAATTTTCTACAAAATATGATGGTTTTAAAATCTCTTATTATTGGTTTAAACAAATAAGGTAACGTCATGAATGTAGGAATGTAGGGACATTTTTTCGATGAACGGTATATTCTTGCGATGAAAAATCTCTCCACGAAGAGAGAATATCCCAGAACGAGGCAGCAAACAACCGGTTTCGATACTATCGACTGGACAATCGCTCGTCTTGCGCGCCAAAGTGGAATTTGAATGGAATAAATTTAGGAAAGCTTTGGTTTTATGCCAGGAAGCACGATTTGAGAGAGCAAAAATTAAAAAAACTTGCTGTCGGAAGTTCATAATGATTATTGATTGATAAAATTAATGATATATATCGCAAAGACTCGTAAGTATCGTAATATCGTAAGTATACCTTCAAATCAATTTCGACGTCAATATACACAGAAAAGTGCTTTTTATACTGTGTATGGTCACACTAGATGACGGAACTGCATGTAGCAAGCAACCTTGTCTTTCGGCTGGTGACACTATTCAATTTCACATTCGACGCGCTAGTGTATTATTCTGACATGCTTGGCGCCAAATTTAAAATAATTTTAATTTAAAATATAATTTAAACTAAACATCCGCTCAGCACCCTAAAGCAGGAATCAAACAAGCCACCCACAGCCAACTCCATCAGGCACCCAGCTAAAGCATCGTTGAAACCCACTACCAAGAGTCCAAAAAAATTAATAGAAATAATCATAGAATCCACAAAATCCACTCAAAATCTACTCACGGTGCTACAATAAAAACTATCAAGGAGAATTTGGCGCCACCCACAATTTTGAGACCCACTCAACCTGGCAGGCGCAGGCGCTCTGACGCCCTGCACTCAAGCGAAAGCTTTCACTCGAATCGAACTACAGAACTTTCACTCGACCGTTTCGAATTTAGATTCTATTTGTCCAAGTGAATTGTTTTTATTTGTATTTTTCAATTGTTTTGACAGACTGCAATCTGAGCATTTGGTGGAGGGTGGTGTCCTGTTTCGAGGAAGCCTGAGTCCACACTTCTCATGAGGTGTTTTCATGTTCAACTGAAAGAGAGCTAACAGGAGATATCGGTCTTATCAACGAGCGGCAAAAATATCCCCTATGGGTATAGAAAATGATCGAGTCGAAAGGGGTCCACAGTCCACATTCTACATTCCAGTCGGCGATAGAATCATCTTCTGCTGGATCCGTTGATTATTTTCCAAAGACAAGTGATAAAATGAAAGTACGGAAGAGCGCCATCGAGGACGCACAATATACAGGAGACCCATGAGAAAGGGGAAATCCATGCAGCGATGCAGATCTTAGATGCAGTTGCAGTTGCAGTTGCAAGAGCTCTCCTTGTGTGCGGAGATGGCATGCAAGCCCCTCAGTGATGCTGAATCCACTCCTGCAGTAACCCGCAGATGGACTTAGCCCAGGCTTAGAATAGACTACGACACGCCAAGGTAAACTCTAACTAAGATACTGAATTGCCGCCACGGCAACATTTCAGATCAGTCGCATCGCGACCGCAAGGCCCTGAAGCCCAGCTTAGCTGCACCGATGCCATGCCTCTGCAGTGGGAGTGGACCAACATTACCTGACACAAACTACACAGAGAAGAGTGCGGGCCAGAGCTTAAAGAACTGAATCGTGGGAATGCCTAAAAGTCAAATGAGCTCCAGCAGCGGTGGCAGGGATGGGGATCCTCTTTAAGTAATTCACGCGAATGGCTCATTTCCCTAGCAGAGGGCAGCACAAGGGCGGGGCTGGTGTTGGGCCAGGGGCAGGGGCAGGGACAGGGGCAGGGGCTGCCCTTGGCGAAGGATACCGCTAGTAGATAGGGCTACTGAGGCGGAAGGGGAGAAAGGAATGGTAAGACAATAGACAGGAACCACAACAGAAATTATAGACTCTGGCTGGGTCGGGCTTGACTGGGAGTTGGAGTTGAGTTTGGCGCTCGCTGTGCGCTTGAATGCCGGCGTTGCACCGTCTCCTGTCTCTCGTTCTATGTGACTGTGCGTGTGTGTGTGTGTGTGTTTGTTGGTTGTGTTTGTGGATTGCACTTTGGCCGTTTAAATCCGTATCCGTGGAGCACACAGCACAGGCACAGACACAGACACAGGCACAGCCGCGTCTTGGCGCGCCACACGCAGACGTAATCGACTCGCTCTAGCTTTGACTCCGTCTCCGGCTTCGTCCAGGACCCTCTGCCAGCAAACGCTTCCTGACTCAGTCAGACCCATAGCCAAGTCCTGCCCGACCCGACCCGACACGACCCGCCCTTCACATTAAAATGAATTCCCTTTGTAAAGACAACAGTGGAGGAAAGAAGGAGCACCAAGGACTAAGAACTGAGAGTCGGGAGTCGAGAGCTGGAAGTCGATTTGAATGAATGCACGTCCTGGCTGCTCCTCAGCCCCGATGCTGTAGCTATAGCTGAAGCTGAGGCTGATGCCAGGTCTGACGACTCCAAGGAGATGGGAGAGGTCCCTCGTCATGGTTCGCCCGCTCCCACTCTCCCCGATGATGGAGTCGGCGGAGTCGATGGGGCGCCTGCCGCCGGCCCCGCCGCGTCTTTAAGTGTTTGCCATCCTTAGGTGTTGAGTTTGCATTGTCTTTTTGTTTTCGCCGTCTGCCGCAGTTGTTTTGCTTTAGACATTCCCTTCCCCTTCCTCATGCACTGCCCTTCCACGGTGCTGCCCTTTTTTTTATTGTGTTTTGGCATTATGCCAAATGTGCAAAGCCAACAAAATACCAAAAGATTGCACATTGCACCTGTCCTTGGAAGCGGCACTTTGGCCACTAGGGCCTCGGGTGTGGGGACCGGGAATATCCTTTGGCTTCTGGTTTCGGAAGGAATATTTCAGAGTCGTCCTTGCTGGTTCTTGTTGCACATGGCCGGCCAGGCTTATTGATGCTGATGCTGCTGCCTCAGGCTGATGCTGATGCTGATGAAGCCCTCCCATGGCTCTCTCCTTGATGATCATTTAAGTGCTCGGGAGTCTCAAAAGTGCTCTTTGGAGACAGCCAGTAGATCGGTGGTCAGCTGAAAATGCATCTTCACTTTCATCTGCTATTCTGAGAGCGATTTCGAGGCAAGTGGAAATCGATCCGATTTGGGGCATGTCTCGAGAGTGCCACAAGCGGCTTTTACTTTGAGTACAAAATGTGGATTCGCATCGCAGTCTGCGACAGCTGCAGAAGCTCAGAGAGTACGATAATTGGAATCCGTGCATGTCCAGCAGCGCCGACAATTAGATGGCCGTCCTTTTGGCCATTGTCCATTCGCCGTTTGCCCACTGACCTCCCCCCTACTCCCCCCCCTACTGTTCCGCTGTCTATTGACATTATTATAATTATCGAGCAGGCAGAATGGATATGGGAATGGCAATGGGGATGGGGATGGGGATGGAAATGGCCATATGCCCGAGTGGTTCACCGACTGAGCAGATGGTCCGTCTAAGTGGACTCTTAGGTGGACGGCAATCAAAGGCGGCGCACCTGAAGCGGTGGAGATGCGAGACCTGCAGGTGGGCAGGACAGCAGGACAGACGGCTATAGGACAGCAGTATCGGTGGCCGGGTCTGTGGCACTGTGGCAGTGCCAGTGGCATGAGTCTGGGGTAGCGGTAAGTAGAAATTTGCGTCAATAGGATTGTTAAAGAGGCTTAAGTTAAATGGGAAAACTTCCGAATCAATGAACTGCAAATTGCATGCGAAATGCCAAAACGAAAATGTCGCCGGCCCCGGCTCAGGTCCAGCCGTACAACTGAGCAGCGTGTCCTTGTGAGTGTGTGTGTTGCACGCACGTCAATGTACATATGTATGTAAGTGGCGTGGGACTGTGTGGGAGAGTCCTGGAAACCGGAGTGAAGTCGCCAAATAAACAAGCGCGGGACAAAAATGTATTTATACACAGATCCATATGGGAATGCCACAAATGACACACCGTGAATGTGTCGTTCTCTTGCCAAGTTTGTATCCGTGACCACAGCCTGGACCTAGTGCAACGGCAATAAATATCCTTTTTGGGCCATTGCGAGACGCTTGTAAATTCATCCTTCCGTGCGGGAATCGGAGTCTTCAAGCAGCTGCTCTCAGAGCTCTCGTTGAAGGAGAAAAACTGAGTTTATTTCATAAATTTCGGATTGTCTTTGGTCTCCTTCTCGACTGCAATAGTCTGAGTCGCAATCCCAGACTTAGTCCCCAGTTTCCCCACTAGAACTCAGCCCGCCCCAGCCCTAGACTGACTCAGTTAATGGCAATTTCATTTTCTTCGGCAACTTACATACGAGATAGATACATATATGTACATACATACCATACGTAGAGACGATGACAGGAGATTCAATTTCGCGCATTGTCTTTTTGCTCAATCCGTTTTTGGGGCACAAACACTCGGTCTTTTTTGGTGGAGACTCTGCTCGTAAACTTCAGAAATATGTTCCATGATGGCAGCCAGGGTAGAGAGGGGCCTGGGCCTGGGCCTGGGCCTATACTATACAGTGACGGGAGAGTTCGTCCCCGACTGCATGTGGGCTCCACTTGTGTGTCTACTAATCTGGACGAAGGATACGTGCTGGTGTATATGTGAGAAGAGATGGTAGTGGCAG